GCGCGGGGCTTGAACCCGCGGCGCTCTGCGCCCCGCCCCGCCGCGCAGCCCCTCACCAAGAGCGGCACGGCTGCGCCCAGAACCGTCTTCTTATGAAGTCGTTGAAGTCGGAGGCCAGGGTCGTGCCATGGAGACGCCGCGGCGGATGCAGTCCGGCTCCCGCGGCGGCTCCTCCCCGCTTCCGCCTCCTTTTCCGACAACCGGTCGGCAGCTCGCCCATTGGCCAGTTCAAACCCCCCCCGGAGCCCCTCGGGTTTCGCCATTTAGGCCCTGCCCCCAGCGTCACAGAGATGCCCCGCCCCACTGAGGACGCTCCGCCCACTTCCGGGCCTCGTGGCCGGCCCACCACCCCGTCGCCAGGGAGACGCGCGACGCCTCCCGTGCAGACCTGCCTGATCTTGTCCCACCGTTCAGAGCCCCGCGTCCCCTCCGCCATTTTTGCCCTGGTACTCCGACTCCTAAGCCCTAACGCGCCCAGCTCGAAACACAGTAGGAAGCTGGGTGCAGAGGAGGACGGCTGAACAGGCGACAGGCTGGGGCTTCTGGAAAGCCATCCTTGTGCCTAGTCCACTCAGTGCAGACAGTTTGTGCACACTACCCAGACTGTGCCCCTATCCCACACCGCCCAAACAGAAGGAAGACGTCCCACTCCCCACGCCCCTCGCCACCCTCTGGGACGCCGAACGCCGCCTCTGTACGGACCTACTCTGCTGAGGTTCTCTCTGCTGAGCCGCCATCTTCTCAACTATGTTTCCCTATTAGCCAATCGTGGGGGACTGTCACGTGGCTCACGTTGCCGCCCTGGATTCTGGGAGACCTTAACAACCTCAGGGCCAGGGAGACCTCCTTTCCTTGACTCCCTTATTTCCAACACAGCAGGGTGCTCCCACTAGCTCCTCCCTGGAGTGTGAACCTCAACTGCTTTCCCACCTTTACCCTCAGCCTTTCTCACATTGTCTTATCTGTTCTTCAACCCTTGCCAGTTCGTGGTATGCATCTGGCCTGACTCTGACTGCCCTTGAGCAGAGATCCACCTGCGTCTGCCTCCTGAGAGCTGAGATTAAAGGAATGTCGTCCATACCAAGTCTTCATTATTATTATTATTATTATTTGTTTTAATGCCTGTAATCTCAGCAATGAAGAGGCTGGGGCGGGAAGATTGCCATGAGTTGGAAGCCAGTCTGGATCCCTCAGTCATAACCTTAACATTCTGGGGTTCTGTAAGATCAAATCTACTGCCCAGCTATGGGATAAAGGCTCAATGGTTGAGGCCTGGCCTGACATAAGCAAAACCCTAGGTTCTATTTCAGTACCACATAAATTCTATAAACTCCCTCCACTGTCCAGCAATCTAGACTATGACCAACAGTAGCTTTTCAGCTATTTTTGCTCTTCTGCATTCTGAACATCAAGTTCCTTGTTTTCTTTTTTGACTAATTAAATATATTTACATGCAAACTCCTGAAATTTGTGGGTATTTTTTGAAAGAAAATCCTTGAGTGGAACTGGAACCAGGCTTGGAGGTTTGGAGGCACAGACCTGAGATCCCACTCTCATGCAGTTGACACAGGAACACCTCTAATTCAGGACCAGCTTGTGCTGCACAGTAAGACTCCACCTCCAAAGCAAATTCTCAGCAAAATTCCAGGACGTCTGTCTCTGGTGGTGGCTACATGGGTTAAGTTCCTTATTTTCACAGAGAAAAATAAAGCTGCAACAGAACTAAGAAGCCATGCAACAGTAGAAGCCGCCTGAAGCTCCCTCCTCCCTGCAGTCATCTGTGGGCCAGCTCGAGAGGGAGGATTTCTCAGCTCCCTCTGTGTGTGTGGGTCCAGCATGCATGCCATGAACCTACATACAGATCCATCACTACCTATGCTGGGTGCTCTCTTAAGCAAGAACCACATCTTCCTGTCCTGCAGAGCCTGGCACCAAACAGGTTCTGGTGAGCTTCAGATCAAAACTCCTATAAAGGACAGCAGTGCTGGTGTCCGTCTTTAATGTCTTTAATCCCAGCACTCAGGAAGCAGAAGCAGGCAGATTTCTGTGAGTTGGAGGCCAGCCTGTCTACATAGCAAGTTCCTGGACAACCAGGGCTACTAGAGAAACCCTGTCTTCAAAAAAATAAAATAAAACTCGTATTCAAAGTTTAGGGCCAAGAGGAAAACTATCATCTTACAGCTACCTAAATATTCCTATATATTCCTTCCTTTTCTGTGAACTCCAGGGAGTTTTGAGGGCTCCAGTCCCTGGCCCCAGGCACACAACTCTGTACTGAGAGATGTCTATTACAGTCCCCTTGGTTGAGATCTCTCCATTTACCCAAGGGCCTGATTAGGTTGTTTCCATGCAGGAACACCTGCTCCAGGGTGCTGACGCAATTGCCACATCCTTGACCTGGGGAGAGAAATCAATGCTACGAAGCGGGTCTGGCTTTGTCTTCTGGGTGCTTTTCAGACTTGATGGAGGGTCTGGAAGAAACTCTCCCAGGCCCTCAAGGTTTGGCCTTCTTGGATTCCCTGAGCTGCCCCTCACTGCTCTTAAGCCTTGGATAAATGTTGAACTCGGTGATGGTACTACAATCTGAGTGTGGTCCGTGAACTAACAGCATCAGCAGCACTAGGGAACTTCTTAAAAACACAAATCAGTTGGGTGTGATGGCACAGGCCTTTAATCCCGGCACTCAGCAGGAGGCAGAGGCTAGTGGATCTCTGAGTTCAAGGCCAGCCTGGTCTATATAGTGAGTTTCAGAACAGCAGTGCTACGTGGAAAAACTCTGCTTTGAAAACAAAAAAATAAAATAAAAACATAAATCCTTAGGTCTGGGTATGAGAATTAGGCTGACTTCAAAGTTGAGATCTTCCTGCTTCTGCTGTCCAAGTATATCACCACCCTGACTTACTTTTGTTTGTAAGATTTATTATCTTCTAAATATTTATATGTGTGTATGTGCACGCATACATACTAGTGCAGGTACAAGAAGGTCAGAAAAAAAAAGTTGGATCTCCTGGAACTGGAGTTATAGACAGTTGTGAACTGCCATGTAGGTGCTGGAAAACGAACCTAGGTTCTCTGGATGAGCAGCCCGTGCTCTTAGCCACCGAGGCATTTCCTAAGCCCCATTGTCAGGCTTTCGGTGGTTTGTAGTGTTTTCTTGTCTTCAGCACTGGACAGGGCTCCACATCCAGGCACCTGCCAACTCCTTCCTGTCTGTCCCATTCACTGCTGAATCCTTAGTGTCCCATCTCAACCCCTGAGTTCATCGAATTCTACAGAATGAATGAAAATATTACTTGCTCCTGATCACAGCCACCTAGAGGTAACGGTTTTCACCCTCAAAAGAGCATCACATCCTCAGCTCTGAGAGTCCTTGGAGCCAAGGCAGGTCCTCACCCAAGGACAGAGCGCACTGACAGCCCAACCTCAGGGGGTACCAGTGGACTCTGCCACGACAGGGCACTCACAGAACTCACGTCCAAAGGCTGCCCTGGAAGACAGGTGGGAAAGGGGCGCCTCTGAAGGAGAGAGCCTGTTAGTGTTGGTGGGGGCTAAGGCATGATCAAGACAAGGAGTCCCCTTCCCCTCGATCTTACAGTCAGCTAAGGACAAGCGTCTGAGGGCTGCTACGTGCAGAGACCTGTTCCTTTGTGACTAGTGGAAGGAGGGAAGCCCCCCACTTCCCAAGCAGAAGGGCACAGCATGCGGAGTAGCCTATAACATCTCTGCTGCCTCGGCTGGATTGACTCTAAATTTTCCATCCTCCCTTCTCCATTACGGGTTCTGAAGAAGGGAAGAACCTGGCCCACAAGGCAAGCACCATGCCAGCTGGCGCCTTCTGGTGGGTCTCTTCCTTAGGTCCCGAACAGAACCGGGGCTCTCCCCAGCACAGTACTAGGCTTCTTGTGGACACAAGGATTGCAGTTACAGAGCAGCAACCCAAAAGGCAGGAGAGGGGGTGACCTCTGGCTGGACCTTGACCGGGCCCAAGCTGATGAGCAAAGGCTGAGGGTGACGTGAGTACCCATTCTGCTCAGAAGCTATACCTCTACCTACTGAAGGGGACATGGGCGCCCAGCCAGGAAGCAAGCACCTGCCAACTTGAGCACTCTTCCTGTGCCCTCGCTCTCTGTCCCTAACTCAGGGGTCTCCTGCCTGGGCCTGGTGAGATGCAGAGAGGCTCAGCTGTTACTGAAGTATAAAGTGCCAATGCAGTGGACTTTTATTGAAGGCTTACTGTGTGCCAGGCACCAGGTGTGCCTCCCGCCTTCCCGCACTTTCTGCCAGCCAGGGAAAAGGGTGCACGTGAGCCCCAGCTGTGAAGCCAGGGACGGGGCTGAGGTGGAGGTAGATGGAAGCAAGGTAGCCCCAACAGGCTGAGTCCTCAGAGAGGGCAGGAGTCAGGATTCTAGGGTCTGGCCAGCTTGAAACCTGAAGGCTGGGGCCTCCCCTGTTCCTGAGCCCACTGGGCTCCAAATCTGCGTGTGGA